CTTCACTACCAATTAATAGTGCATACAATTTGTTACCGTGACTATATTTTTATAATATTCAGCACTACTTTAGTTTCTATTACTTTGTAAAACTAGTTACAGGTACTTCAATTGCAAAAGTTGCCAAATTTATAGTTGCTGGAACTATTTTTTTTCTCTCAGTGTAGCCAATCACATTTTACGTGCATCTTTATAAGAGAAATGCGATTGAATAATTTTCTTTATACATACTTTATGCAGCTATTCAAGTCTGTGTGAACATACCCTTATACTTTGTACATTATGCGTTAGGCCGGAATCAGACTACGCATTGAAGATTGAGATCGAAGATTGAAGATTGAAATTTGACCAATGAGGGCAAAGGAATTTTAGCTCCTATTGTTTTGATTGGTCAAATTTCAATCTTTCAATCTTCAATCTCAATCTTCAATGCCTAGTTTGATTCCGGCCTTACCCCAGATCTACAATAGGATTTTAAGCCTTAAGTCATAAGAAATGGGCGAATCACAGTCGATTATTCCCCTCGGATTCGACTGTAACTGGTGAATTTCTTACGGCTTAAGTCTTAAAACCCTATTGTAGATCCGGGTTATGCAAAGGTCTATGGCCTTTAATGATGGATATTTTGAATTGTGATATCTGTAAAATTTTGATGTTGTAATTTTAAAATAATGGGTAGTATAATTAATGAAATGTGCAAATATGTATATTTCTTATAATAATTTAATCAGTAATATTTAATATTATTTGATGTTCTTCGAATTATTTATACTTTACATTTTATTTGTGCTTCACAAAAACTGTAAAGATTTGAAAATGTATCTTTGGCTGTTTTCCTTTTAGTAGATGCAGTTAATATAAACGTCGTTCTCTCTATTCTTCTTGGTATTTAATGATTAATAAAGATAAAGCCCATAGCACATACAAAAACGTAAGATCGTAAGACGTAATCAGTAAGCAAATTGGCCAATCACGGTAGAGACCGTAAGACCTGTAGCGAATTCAATGTTACGATTTCCTTAATCCAATGGCACATACAAAAACGTAAGGCCATAATACGTAAGCAGTAAAGAAATCGTAATGCGTCGTCTACAATACATGGAGTAAGAAGTAAGAGTAAAAAATTGACCAATCACAGTTGATTGTGAAAAGGATAATCGACTGTGATTGGTCAATTTCGTACTCTTCTTAAACCAAGCTTACTTCGCATATTGTAGACGACGCATAAGATTGGATTCGCTACTGGCCTTACGGTCTCTACCATGATTGGCCAATTCGCTTACTGATTACGTCTTACGGCCTTACGTTTTTGTATGTGCCATAAGCTTTTTTATATGTGCCACAGGCTTAAAACGATGTTTGTGTCCTAAAAGAAAAGCAGTTTTTGTATAAAATGTATTATATATATGAAACGTATATTCGTATACATAAATTTAATATTAATTGAAAAATAATAAATTAATTTAGACCCGTTTATGTAATTATAACATAAATAAATAGAAGACTGTTAAACATAGTCAAAACCTAATAATATTTCTATGTGAATTATTAAATACATTTTTTAGTTCTTCAAACTGCATGCTAAACACAGCTGGTCTCAAAACGCAGTCCCAAACTTAAGCTAGAATAGTAATATCACAAATAAAGCCTACGGTTCACGTTGAACGTTTTTTTTTGCTTTTACTTGTGTTTCAGTAAATTACTAGAAATTCTATAGTCTGATGTGTAATTCTAGTAATTTACTAAAATGCAAGCAATTTAGCAAGAAAAATCATAGGCTTTAAATCGACCAATTAAATAATAATAATAATGCTAATATATAAACATCTTAAAACACTACAAAGAATTTATTATGGAAAATGTCATTCTATCCTGGTTGAGATGATTTTTTTGCAATAAATTCATTATAGTGTTTCAAGATGCTTATTAGCATTATTATTTAATTAACGATTGATTTAATTTATGATATTAATATTACAGTTTTAATTTAACTGCATTTCAAGTATGCGTTTTGTTTCACGCATGATGCGCATAATGTATTATTTTATCCTTGTTATTCACCGAATTCAGAAAGGATAAAATGATATACTTGTGCACATATGCGTGAAACGGAGCATATCCCAAGACTGGCCCTGTTTGGCAGAAATGGAATATGTATTTAATAATTCACATAGAAATTATTACGCACGAAAATCCAGTTTCGGCCGTATTTGGCACTCTATTTATTTGTATTAATTAAAAAATATATATGCAAAATTTAAAATATAATTGAAACATATATTAATTTTATAAATTACTTTTAGTGTTTTTCCGCCGGTGCTGAAATTGGTCAACACAAAAATAATCATGCTTATCAATTTATGGTACGTATCAGTTATGAACAAAGACAATTTTAATATTGCATGCTACAGAACTTAGCATGTTAATGTACTTCTGCATCCATTGATTTAGGACTCTGGTACGATCAGTATATTCAATGGTCGTGGTAACTGGACAGCCAGAGAACAGCTGAGACTCCTAGATGCGATCGAACAGTTTGGATTCGGAAACTGGGAGGACATCAGCAAACACATCGAGACGCGTACACCAGAAGGTAATTTAACTAGCATATTTTATAAATGTCACAAAATCTAGAGTCAATTTTTTTCAATTTATTCTTATCTTCTATCTTCTACCTTCTATATCACCTATATCCAACTTTAGAGAAAACAAAGTGGAAACGTTTCAGCTTCGGAACTAAAGTTAGAGGCCCTTCATGATTGTTATAGTATTTTGTTATTGTTTAAAAGCTTTTACCCTTTGAATGTAGGTTACCCAGGATTGCTAGTCACAAAAACTGGAAAATGTGTTTAATAATATATGTCTGATGTTGTGTATATATACGTGGAATGGAAAATCTGAGATTTGAACTCGGATCTTTTGCTTGGCAGACAACTATTCTAGCTACTGTGCTATTTAACATCCCGTTATTACAGAATTTATTTATTTATCATTACAGAAGCGAAAGAAGAATATATTGCAAGGTATCTTAATGGTAACATCGGAAAACATACATGGCCACCTACAGATAGCTACGTACCAAATCTTACGGATCAGACGAAGTCTGATCATGGTCCTCTATCACCTGACCTCACATCTAAATTACCACCATTGGATATCACTCCAGAAGAAGCTGCGCAACTGGGGTACATGCCCCAACGAGATGATTTTGAAAGAGTAAAATCGGTATTTTAAAAATTTGATTTGATTTTTTTTTAGAAATGTGGTTTTTACTTATGTTTTTTTTCCAGGATTACAATCATGAGGCTGAATCTCTCGTATCTTCATTGTTCCTGAATCCTGCCGAAGACGATGATCTTGATATTGCACTTAAACTAGCACAAGTTGATATGTACACTAATAATCTCAGAGAGCGAGCCAGACGAAAACGCGTCGTGAGAGATTACCAGCTTGTGTCGGCTTTCTTTGCGTCATCCAGGAGAGATAAAGGAATAAAGAAAAAATGGACGAAAGAAGAAAAGTACGTTTCATATTAATGTATTTTTTCTTTTATTTATGAAATATTTTAACAGATATTTAATTTTCTTCGGTTGTTCACATGTATTAAGCGTTTTATTTATTCAATACAGAGAATTTAGGGACAGAATGCGTGTATTCGCACAGTTTTACACAGCACAAGAGCACGAACAGTTCCTAACAAATCTCGAGAGGGAAAAAAAAAAAAAGAGAATTGCGCTTACGGCTCTCGGAGCTTTATCGATATCGTGAGAACGGCATTACGAGACATGAGGAATGCGCTCATTTCGAGCAAGTTCTTGCACAAACTCAGAGACAAAATGATACAGTGGATCATTGGAGTGAAAAGAAATCTGTAAGTATGCATTTCTGTTTTCATAATATTTCCGTCTTGTTATAATGTTGTATGGATGTAGAATGGGAGTTATTTTATATTTTGTGATATTTTTATATATGTGTATACGTAAAAGCTAGTCAAAAACTAATACTTACTTACAATCTATCAAAAGTGTGAATATATTAGCGTAGTTTTTTTACTAAGTGCTGACGCATGCTAAAGCTCTGTACATATGAATGTATGATGGAACTATAAAACAAATATATCACGTGAAATCTTATCCAAAAAATGATATTAAACAGCAGCAATGTTATTGTGCTTTGTTTTAATTATACTATTAGGTGCGCAACTAAGTTCTCGCTGTTATTTTGATGAAAATGCAACTTGATTGTGAAAAAATGGTTACAAATGAATCATTGAAAGTATTGCCCATCGCTAGCTACTACTTTTTCCCATCTTTCTGGCAGAGCTCGAATACCGTTACGGTAAAACTGTTCATCTTTTGAGACTATCCACGAATCAAGC